TGGCTGATAAATTTACCACACCAATAAATACACAATGCCATTAAGAAAGTGGTCAAATGTAACACATGTTATATATGGGATTACACTTTATCAGTAAAGTACAGATTCTAGTACTTTTGTTGGGTTGAGTCCCATCTGGGATTAGAACTCACACCTCAGAGTCAGGCACTTAATCGCCAGCACACAAAGTCAGCTGTTTAACCCACTCAGCTACCGCGGCTTCAACAACAATGTTTTCATTAAAGATGAAAGTTCTGTGAGTATATTTACAGAAAAACCACACAGGGACTGCCTTATAAAGCATGTCGTATCAGAACTCCAGATACTTTTTCAACATCAGGAGTACATACTCCTTATTTTTTTAATATAAGAGTACTGGAAAACCTTAAGCGTACATTTACTGAAGTACTGAATGGAATCAATGGAGTGTGACTTAGTGACGACAAGATGAACGAGTGATACTAGTAAGCTGTTTGTTCATTATTCGTACAACAATTTGATTACTTGACTCAAATGACTGTTTACAAGTTGTCGAGGCACAGTCTTGTTTCTGAAAGAAACTTGTAATTTGTTTCTGTGCCACCATGTTTACATACATGTGAGCAATTTTGACCAATCAAATTCAACCACAGCAACCCGGGATTCCCAAAACACGACAAGGGAAACCCCAATGTGTCGCTATCATGTATATTCAAAGATGGGACACTGCTTGAAAGCAGATTGATATGTTTTAGATAAATACGACTGTAAATGATTCTAAGACTGCACACCATTGCTGTTGTGCGTATCTGCTACTTTTCTAAATAATTTCCTACCATATCAGGCATATTTCTTATCCGTTATGCCGATACGATCCTTATACATGTTATATGGGCCCGTGAAGGTCCGGGTTAGAATGAACCTTCAGTAACCCATGCTTGTCGTAAGAGGCGACTAACGGGATCGGGTGGTCAGGCTCTCTGGCTTGGTTGACACGTCATCGGTTCCCAATTGCGCAGATCGATGCTCATGATGTTGATCACTGGATTGTCTAGTCCAGACTCAATTATTTACAGACTGCCACCATATAGGTGGAATATTGCTGAGTGCGGCGTAAAACTAAACTCATTCACTCCTCATATGCAGCCCTGCTGTATTTAAGAGAGTTATATGAAATAGAGTTTAATGTTTAATTCAAAAGAATTGCACTTAAAAAGTGAAGCACAGGTGAATGTATGTGTGTGGTTGTAACGGTTAGCACTAATGCCAGTTTTAGCATGTTTAGTGTTAGCCAACTCAGATACCATGCTGCAGTTTAACATGGATAGCCAATTCAGTTTCCTGACTTTCAGCTGACCACTTCTTCACCTTATGCTGTTAATGCAGAGTGCCAGGCAGAAAGAATGAAGGTTAATGCTCCATAAAAATGATAAGATGAGTAAAAGCTCAGTATCATAACAAAGTATATTAACATCTCAGATGGAACTGTTTCCTTTTCCTGTGATTTAAGAACATCCAAACACGGGTAAACCAGGGTTTTGCAACTGTATCATAATTTGCTGACCCCCAATATATATAACATTTATTCACGATATCCATTTTCAGTCGATCCCTATCTTCCACTTCATTTCTTCATCATTCATGCTCATGACATCCACACCTTCCCCAAGTTCCCCAACAATCTCACCAGAGCCCTCCCCTATACTATAACACCAGTCAATTCAGAATAAGCTCACTTTCAAAAGATAATGACTGGTTCACCTTTAGAGAAGCACAACAAAGTTATGCTCATGCTGGTGGCAATGAATACAGGTAATATACCAGGGAAGGTGATAAAACCTGTGGTGCAAATGAAGAAAAACAATAAAAAGGGTCAAGGGTCAGGGTCCCATATAAGGGCTGGTCACAAAAGCAGACATATTTGGGGCCTCAGCATTAACCTGGCAGTTATAACCACTGATGATCACACAAATATCTACTGTCTATACCATATTCCTGTAGTAAGCACCCAAGTTTGTGGGGCACTTATTAAGTTATTAAAACCATAAACAAGGATTTCATAAAATTTGTTCTTTGAACTGAGATCAAGCAGTACTGAACACATTTAGATCAAAACTAAAAATACTCAACCCATTTTGATGAAATTCACAAGACAATAAATTAGAATAGAATTAAATATTGCTCTGAAACTTTGTCAGGTATGCTTACTGGAAAAGTGCGCTTAATAGAGCCAATACATCACATGCATCTTCATAAAATACCATGACAAGAAAGACTGTTAGCGATCAGTTTAACACTAGAAAATGCTGGCATATTAGAAGATTTACATAGATATGAAAATCCAATTGCATACAGTGTGACCGTATTCATGATCAGTGAAAGACCATGACACAAGCAATACATGCATGCTAAATTCTGTTTCCTATCATTGTAAATCACTGCATCAGAGATAACAGCCATAAACCAATCTAACCTTTGTCTTGCAGTGTACATATTTGCATTGGGAATGATAACTAAAAAAGCATTTGTTGATCACTGGATGATGTTCAAGACCTAAATTATTTCAATAAATCTATCTTCAATAAATATGACAAAAATTAACAGTGGAAAGCTCTGCCTACATACTTATTATTTGGGAAAAAGTAACTGACTGCTTAAAAGATCAACCCCAGTCATTGATGCACACTAGCAGCAAGTCATGTGCATCACAGCATATACCAAACAGGAAAATTCACATTTGTTTATATACCAATTAACGAAGTTGAGTTACTGAAGAGCCATTCTTCATCACTTCAAGGGGTCCTTGTCATACACAGCCTAATGTTATAAGTTAAAAATTCAAAGGGTATCCAGATTCAAACACCATGCAGTAAACTTCATGTAGCTTAGGGTTCGTTACAATTTCCAATAATATTCTTACAGATGCTGGAATCAGGTTGGGGTTCCTGGAATACAAATGGTCAGTAGTATCTTCCATAGAAAATACCACATGTTATCTCCAGCTCATTGTCCTTTTTATATTTACATTTCAGATAAAACTTGAGGGAAGTGAGTGTAGTGAGTGAATATGGTTTTACGCCGCTTTTAGCAATATTCCAGCAATATCATGGCAGGGACACCAGAAATGGGCTTCACACATTGTACCCATGTGGGGAATCAAACCCGGGTCTTCAGCATGGTGAGCGGATGCTTCAACCATTAGGCTACCCCACCACACCACTTGAGTAAAGAATCATTGATAATGACTGACTGACTGACTGAGTTTGGTTTTACGCCGCTTTTAGCAATATTCCAGCAACATCACGGCGGGGGACACCAGAAATGGGCTTCACACATTGTACCCATGTGGGGATTCGAACCCGGGTCTTCAGCGTGACGAGCCAACGCTATAACCACTAGGCTACCCCACCGCCCCTCATTGATAATGAAACAGCATATTCAACACAGTGAAAGGTTAGTACAGTATACTAAAATTGCACTGATGTGGGCACCTGCTGCTTGCTGTTGATAGCTAGTGTTTGCTGGTGATAGACAACAAAGAAGAGTTCAGCATGTTCTGATGGATCGGTGATCAATTATCATGATAATCATGATAATCACGCCAATATTATGTCATTGACTGGTCTATCAAACATGTAAGGAACACAATCTAAACGACATACCACAAATATCATCACAGTTAATCGTGTTAATAGCTTAGCATTGATGATGTGTGTGCAGGGATTTACATGGAGTCTTGTATTTGAGGGTCCCTTGGACTCATACTCTTAATTTTCAGGGGTCCTGGACATCAAAATGGGGAGCCCAGACACTTAAAATAATATTACTGACTGGCTGAGTTTTGGTTTTACGCCGCTTTTAGCAATATTCCTGCAACATCACGGCGGGGGACACCAGAAATGGGCTTCACACATTGTATAAAATAATATTAATAATACTGTTATTGTATTGTGTATCATGATCATCACATTGTTACAGATTTAAATTGCAAATAATACCATAACCTAGCTAGTAACAAACTCAGTGATAACTTATTGTCACTCGATTGGAATTTTTACAAAAAGTATTTGGACATTGTTTTTAGTCCCTGTGGACGCGCAAATATAGTAATAAATTTTGTTGAGTCCATTGTCAATTTTTATGCGTATAAGATGCAGGAATAAACACAAGTACTACTACCTTTTCAAAGAAACACCTGAAACACTGGTTTATTCCCAAAGATGTATCAGTCCATATTTGACTATACCATTACTATCATCTTAAGGAATGACAACAGTAAAATAACATGATTAGTATATTCTGATTTTGGTCAAATTGAACTGAAATAATATTACCAGGCTCTCTTACTGTTTACTCAGATACCATTAGGAAGAATAAAAATGCAACCCTCCATTGCTCAAATGGACAGAATAGATCATAATTAGAGCAATTACTACGATCATATTTTGCGTTGCAACATCCTTAGTTGAACCCAATTCCTTGTGTAGTCTATCTAATCTAAAGTCGTGGTTCAGTAAACTAAACCTTGCTTTTTAAATGAATTTTGTGGTGTATTGAAACATCAGTTTATCTGAAAAGAAACGCACATCGCTTGTTTCGTTTTCTAACGCCTCGTATTATCTCGGCGAATGTAGACAGTCACTATACAACAAGATGTTTGTAATGATTTTATTTTGAGAAGCTCTTGCTGTTCTCAGCCGGAGAGACGCATTGAAAAGATGGACCGTCAGATCTGAACAGCTGAAGCGAAACATGCATATATGACACGTTTATGGCCTGGGTTAGTTGTATACAGCTTCGTCAGACTAAGCAACACCAGTTTCGCTATCGGTATGTCATTGCCAAGGTGTATAGGTATTCCAACGCTCTCATCTGCCCACAACATGTATAATTAGATGGAAGGACTGACTGATATTCCAACATGGATTCGCGAAGCGCCCCAGTTTCAACGTCTCGCACTCCCCACGCACCGGGTCTCGCACTCGCTGCTTTTGCATTTTTCACTATATAGCACGTCTTACCTGTTTATGGTGTCATGATGAAAGTATATCCTAAAATCCGTGGCATCTGTCAAAACGGTAGTTTAGCCAAATATATGCACAAGTTCATCTCTCGTCTGCCATTTTCTCACCCAGATTTAATGTTGACATCGATAGCCAATCGCAGCCATTCTTTTTATCACGTGATCTTCTTACCAATTCAGCAGAGAAATGAAATTCTGGCACACAAGATATATCATATGTATGATGGTATTTCTGGATATGTACTTTTGATAGGATAGACATCATAACCTGAATAATGCATTATCAATTACAAAACTGACAATTAACGTATTAACAACAATATATGTCGGTTAAATATATCAAAAATGTCATATATCTCAATCAAAACATATATCGGTAAATTTGGGGATAGTTGTAACAATATTTTATAATAATAAGATAATAAAACACATGATACGCCAATAGATTAAAACAGGAATAAATCTTTTTCATAAATCCTGACACATTTCTTATAAAATATGCAACCTAGTATGCGCGACTGTGGGTAAACCTAGTGGTAAACGCGTTCGCTCGTCATGCCGAAAGCCCAGGTTCGATTTCCCACATGGGTACAATGTGTGAAGCCCATTTCTGGTGTCCCCCGCCGCGATATTACCGGAATATTGCTAAAAGTGGCTTAAAACTAATTCAACCATCCTACTTTGTTGCCCTTTGCTTTGAATTTATTGACTAAACAATACATCAATATATTTGTTTTTATCGAACATACCCAATCATCCTATATCGTATTTCTTTATATTTTATTACGTAACTTCTAAATAAAAATTTAAAGTCATTTTACATCATCATATGTTTCTGGTTTGATTTTACTTTTAATCATGTTAATCGTATTCGTTTGTTGTGAATTACACCTGTTTGTTGCTGTTAATCTTTATTTGTCTTTGTTTTTTGCAACATTTAGAAGTTAATCCGCTTCACTGTTGTCTTTGTTATTGTTTTTGTTTATGTTGTTCCTTCCCTGTTGTTATGGTGATTATTAAAATGATTAATTCTTTATCACACATGAAAGTTTGCGTTTGGAAGTATGGCTAATGCCGAAACAAGGGCCACGCCCTGTTTATGGTCAGTGAGTGAGTGAGTTTAGTGTTACGCCGCTTTCAGCAATATTCCAGCAATATCACGGCGTGGGACACCAGAAATGGGCTTCATACACTGTACCAATGTGAGAATCGAACCCGGGTCTTCAGCGTGACAAGCGAACGCTTTAACCACTAGGCTACCCCAGTCCTTGTTGCATCTCCTCAATGATGAACGCCAGGCAGGGTAACGACAAGTACCATATTTTGACGCCTGTTGGTATGACACGACCATCCATCGACCTTCCGACCTAACCACATGAACACGGAAGTATATGGAATGACTCCTGCCGAAAGTGTTGCATGCCGCTAAATGAAAAGACTATCAAATCTACGTATAGCTACGTACACTCTCAGTATTTACACTCCAGCATCCAATATCACATACAAAAACGGTATAGTATATAATCACGAATTTGGAGTTAACTTAACGGAGACCATCTTGTGTCTTATACTCTAGGTTACCAAAAACGAATCATATACTGAATGGAATGACGTAAACTCCGACCCAACCAGCAGCTTCTCTGATCCACACTTGATTTTCCAGAAACTGTGCAGTTTAAAGCATTATTCCAGGCGGCAGAATAACGCAACATTCACACACACACACGCGCATGCACGCACGAGCAATGTTTGACAAAAAAACCTCTTAAAACATTCTTTAATTTATTCAGATGTTACGAAAAAATAGCGTGTAACGTTACGAAAACGTCAGCTAGATCCAACTTTAATGGTAGAGTCAACGAGTATGGCCTGTTAATACAAACGTCCTTATATTATTTAACTACCTTGGACCAGAACCTTGAGAATATCCGGGTTAGAATTGGTCTTCAGCAAAACAATGCTTGTCGTAAGAGGCGACTAACGGGATCGGGTGGTCAGGATCGCTGACTTGGTTGATGCATGCCATCAAATCCAAAATTTCGAAGATATATGCTCATGATGTCCTTCACTGGATTGCCTGGTCCAGGCTCGATTTCTACAGATCGCCGTCATATAGCTGGACTATTTCTGAGTGCCGAGAAATATACCGTGGAATCTGTCAGCGCAGGGACGTTTCTACGTTAAAGTTTCTGTCTGTAAAAGTTTGACTAATAAAATTCATTCCAGATTAACCGTTCACGCCCACAGGGCACGTTCTGCATTAAACTAGTCTGTTTTAGTTTGACCAGAAATATATCTTACCGTAGAGGATAAAAACGAATAAAATATTACCATTTGTCATTTTCGTTTTTGATTTTGTCATTTTAGAGGCCAAATATGATCCCGAACTTCTGTGAAATTCAAAACCCACCTCATCCTGTTAAAAGAATATGTTATGGCCAATTTTCTAATTGCCTGGCATGTGTTAACAAAGTTTTAGGTAATACAGAGTTGTTACATAATAATTATCTGTTGATTGGCCTATTTCATACAGATATCGGTTAAATGACAGGTAATGACCACTGTTGGTTATTTACACACCTGTTCAAAGGAAGCACTTCCCACGTGGCAGTCATTATGGCAAGGCGATCGTGACGTGTCATACGACATTTATAGCGCACGGAACAAGGCTTGTCAATTAGCGTTACCCAGTCAATATACATATATGGTCCGAGGAGACTGATAATAGCCTCGTGTGACGACCCCGTCGATATGTAGCCATTGTTCCTTCGTGACGTCATCATAGGCGTGTTCTGTCCAAGAAGGCACGGAAGGGGATAATGGTCATTGATGTCCAAGACTGGCAGCTAATCTGAGTGATTATATCTATTAATAGCAACAGGCATGATGTACCGAGGCGCTGAAATCTCGTAAATTCACGGAACCGCGAGACACGGCAAGACCATTGGCCCGTCTGGCTAGTAATGCTTTCCAAATTAGGTGGGATATGGTCCAATCTGATCCTACTAGTAGAGGTTGCAATTGTACACTTATGTAAGGAAGTTCATATTTAGAAAAAAATATTTTCAAATATTGAAGAATCTAAACATAAAATAATATGTCACAAAGGTGAGTTTTGACATCCATGCGGTCTACTGAAGTTGCAGAGAAGCTTGTCCAGACCTTCTGCTTGTTTGACTGTTGTCGGATTCTGCAGTCAGACCAAATTTGGTTTCTGAGAATATCTTGTAATATAAGAGAGAGAGAGAGAGAGAGAGAGAGAGAGAGAGAGAGAGAGAGAGAGAGAGAGAGAGAGAGAGAGAGAGAGAGAGAGAGAGAGAGAGAGAGAGAGAGAGAGAGAGAGAGAGAGAGAGATTTATATTATTCGAGAGATGATTTATATTATTCCATAGATGCTTATTTAGATGCAACATAAACGAAGCAGATGACAACCATATGCAACATCCTAACTGGAACACCTTATGACATGTTGAATAAAGAATATGTAACGACGGGGGACACCAGAAAAGTAACTTGTACCCAATCCTTTTCTCAAGAATAAAATATGTTTAAAACAAAACCAGAAATTGGCTTCACACATTATACCTATAATTGGGAAACGAACCAGGGTCTTCGGCCGTGACGAGCGCATGCTTTAACCACTAGGCTAATGCATTATGAAGAAGCTGTTGTCCGTAACATCCCTTATTGTAAGTATGTCCAAGGTATACATGTCCAGTTTAGAATCGTTGAATCGTTGCATTAACACACCAGATGCTCTCCGCCGTTGATGTAATACAACCACTGCCGTCGACATCAATACAGACATCAATGGTGACGTAAGTTATACTTGCATGACAACAGATTATGCAATCACTTCCTGCAGGGTAACGTTACACAGTACTTGGGCGTGGTAGTTTGTATGGGGATTAAATATTGTTCAGCTACAGGTGTAGAACAGATTATGTTATTTAATACTATGTATATATTTTTGTTTGAATATATATGGTTGTCTTTGAATAATTCATATTTTTTGCCTGTCAGGTTTTTTTCACTGTGTATAACTACACAAAATGACCCAATAATACAACTACACACTTTCACCTACGTCACCCCTACAATACAACTACACACTTTCACCTACTTCACCCCCTACAATACAACTACACACTTTCACCTACGTCACCCCTACAATACAACTACACACTGTCACCTACTTCACCCCTACAATACAACTACACACTGTCACCTACTTCACCCCTACAATACAACTACACACTTTCACCTACGTCACCCCTACAATACAACTACACACTGTCACCTACGTCACCCCTACAATACAACTACAACTACAACTACACTGTCACCTACGTCACCCTACAACAACTACACTTTCACCTACGTCACCCTTCAATACAACTACACTATTTCACCTACGTCACCCTACAATACAACTACACTTTCACCTACACACCCCTACAATACACCTACGTCACCCCTACAATACAACTACACACTTTCACCTACACCCCTACAATACAACTACACACTGTCACCACGTCACCCCTAATATCACACCCTACAATAATACAACTACACACTTTCACCTACACGTCACCCTACAATACAACTACACACTGTCACCTACTTCACCCCTACAATACAACTACACACTCACTCACCTACTTCACCCCTACAATACAACTACACACTTTCACCTACGTCACCCCTACAATACAACTACACACTGTCACCTACGTCACCCCTACAATACAACACACACCTCTACAATTCCCTACAACCACACTGTCACCCATTTCACCAATACAACTACACACTTTCACCTACGTCACCCCTACAATACAACTACACACTTTCACCTACAATACAACTACACACTGTCACCTACGTCACCCCTACTTACTGTCCCCTACAATACAACTACACCCCTTTCACCTACGTCACCCCTACAATACAACTACACACTGTCACCTACTTCACCCCTACAATACAACTACACACTTTCACCTACGTCACCCCTACAATACAACTACACACTTTCACCTACTTCACCCCTACAATACAACTACACACTGTCACCTACTTCACCCCTACAATATAACTACACACTGTCACCTTC